ATTTTTCTGACAATTTATAATTTTATACATTGCCGATTTTAAAGTTTAAAAATTAATTAATTTATACTAAATATTATCGTTAGCAGTAACATCTATTACCAATATAAGATGTTAACTGAAATTTAATTTTGTACATGTGAACAATTAATAATAATATTTAATACTTTTAATTCTACTGTTTAAAAAATCGCTGACATAGTTTGAAACTCTCTAAATACTGGTTACGAATTAGTCTCGTTAAGCGGTTTGGCCTCAAACAGAATAATAATTATTCAAAATTTAAGATAGAATATTTGAACGTATTATCGTATAGGTACTCAAAATTATTATTATACAAATTTATTCATTTTCAAAGTATTTAATTTGAATATAAAAGTATCGAAAACGAAAACGCTTTTTGTGGTTGAAACATTCGAAATAAATTATATACATGAGTGCAATTTCACCGAAACCATAACAATAGGCGTATTCTGGGGCCACTATCTTTTATGCAAAACTACTATTTTGTTTGATAAATTCCCGAATGAAAACTTTATATTATAAAAGCAGCCTTCATCGATATTTGAACACATTCTGGCTCGTTTAACATTAGAAATCAAAGTCTCCTTTGAAAGTTATTTTTGATAAACATTGGTGATTAAACTTTGTTATCAACTATGTTTGATTGAACTGTTTCTTGTTATTAACAGTTACTAAAACAACTGATAAGTTTTTGATAATTATCGACGAAACCGTTTGCTCGTAATTAACAAACACGATTCGATTCAATAGTTTAATTAGATTTTTTTGTTAGTTTTCATTCGAAAATTTGAAAACGCATCAATTGAGAATTTGTGATATATCAAATATCACTGTTTATAGTTTTAATATAGATAGCTTATTAAGGTACATATGTTTCTTTAAGCATTTGAGAATCAGTGCGCGAAAAAGCACTCGGTTTCGATTTGTTTTGATCAACCCGATAATTTTTATCTGTAGGAAAGTTCATGCGATTTCCTTACGTCAATCGATATGCTATTCACACCTAATTTATATTACAAATTTTGCTTTTTGCTTTTTCATGCCATTTTCATCGTTTCCACGTTTTAGCCACTGAGATTTAATATTTCGATGTAGTGATATCAGATTTTCACTCGAGATTAATGATTTTAAATATGACGAAGAGAGAAAATTGCCTATACAAAATTGCTTCTCCAATACATATTATTCACACATCATTATTACAAATGTAACTAATATAATCTCGCCAGAAAGACAATGGCCATCCACTAGGTTGCCCCCTAGAAACACTAGGAATGTAAGGAAATGTACATTGCAACTTTATTGTTGTACAACAGTCGAATTGATTTTAGCATTCAAAAATTTTTGTTTGTGTTTTATCCCGGATTTTTAAAAATGTTTTGATTGCCAATATTTTTTTGAATATATTTTAACTAGAAAATTTGAACCGAAAAAATGTGCATATAAATTTTTAGCTCACCAACACCCCAACTCCCGCTCTCACACACATTATATAATCCATTCCGGATTTCGTGCGAAAAATTATGGTCACCTTAATATAGCCCCTCCCGGGCACTGCTTCTTCAAATTAAAAAAAAATCACTGATACAGAATATAACTAGTGGTACATGGCATCGTGCTTTAAGACAAATTGTTGCAATCTCCCGTATCGTAATTTAAACTTTTTAAAAAGCTCAGTAAAGCAATTTTGAAAACGTTTGAAAAATTTGAATATCGAAAAAAAAAATTTGGTATTGGAAGTTTGAGCAATTTGTCTTAAGGCACGATGCCGTGCACCACTTGTTTGCATAACACACATTAAATACTAATAAATTTTTAAAGGTTAAATATGAAAATGAACAGTGTTTAATTAAAAAGTGTCGTTTGTACAAATTATGTACATATATGCCCCTAGAGCATAGAAGGGGAACCTTTGCCGCATAAAATGGTAGAGTTTCTTTTAAGGGGGTATTCTACTGTAGAATTTTGAAAAAATCGAAAAATTTTTTTTTTCATATTTTAAAAGTTTAGTTATTCAAAAATATGTCATTGAAAGGATTTTTCAAAATTACTATTATTTCCTGAGTTATATCCGTTTTAGTAACGTGGCTTCGGTTCGGGTCCGACCGAGAATCAAAACTTTGAACGCGTTTTTCTCGGAACTACTTTTTTCGAGCTGGCGGTAAGGATATCTCGAGTTCTAATGAACCGAATTACTTCAAATTTGGAGAGAATCTTCTCTTTACATCGCTTTATCGTATGGACCTTGCCCAAAACTATAACTTTTCATTTAGTATTTTTAAAAAATACGGAATTGTTAAAAAAACATGAAAAAAAATAATTTTTTTTTCAAACTGCCGCCATTCAAACAAAAATTTTTTTTTTAACTTATCCAAGGTTCATACGATAGCGGCATCTATTATAATTAAGAATCCATCTATTTTTTATGTTTCAAATCAGCAGGAGGGTTGGAATCATGTACGCCAGGACACCCTCTTTTTTTGGGAACCCCCACTTTGACTGCTCATAACTGTGTGAATTTTAATTTATTTTTTTTAATAATTTTTTTATGTAATAATAAAATATCAATAAACAAATGATAAAAAATCGATAGTAAGAATATTATTTGTTTTCTTTATACAGCGCTTCAAAAACCGGGCAAAATTCATGCTTCTACAGTAGAATACCCCCTTAAACAACTATTGTACACCAACGTCAAAATAGTTTCGCGAAAAATTCTACCAAAGACAGTCATATTGTACCATGACGTCAGATGCTAGGAACACAGACTCTAATACGTATAAAATGTTTTTCTATGGTATTTTTTGTAATATTATTTTATATGTATATTATATTTAAAATTTTGCAGTATTATATTTTGTTTTTTTCTATATAATGCAATAAATATTTAAATCTACAGGAAAAAAACTATAATAATTTCACAAAAGTCACTTGAGGTCAATCAACTTAAGCGGCCTCTCTTATTTAAGTGCGGCCACTTATGGTAAAAAGGTTTCCCACCTCTGCCCTAGTGGATTCGAATATTACCGTGGCAACGAAATTTACAGCGCATAGTATGCAGTTTGGTAGCTCGCTCACAAATATAAAATGTGAAGTATATTTTTCTGAATAATACATGGAAAATTATATTATATGAAGAAATACATTTATACTATAACCATATGTACTGTGAAATGAGTTACCACTACGAAGATACACATGACTAGTTATAATATAACTAGTCATGTGTATCTTCGCAGTGGTAAAACTCATTTTATTTGATGCTAGGTTCCCCATACGAAACACACGCGCTGTTTTTGAGCATCGACCTCGTATATGATAGCAGTGCTTTCCAATGTTATTTTATTTGAGAAGCATACATTTTGTTAATCTTATTTTTGATGGCATATTATATGTATATAATATTTGTTCATAAATATTCACTACTTGACCTTGACTTTTTGACCATGGCATACATTTATAAAAACAATTGTAAATGTCACTTTTATGTAGTAAATGGAAAAATAACAGATGAGATATACATATATCTCACAAAAAATGAATACAAAATTTTAACAGATAAGCAACCAAATACCAAGTGAGCATTATGATATTTTCGATTATGCTATAAATCATATTCTGCTGGGCTTTAGTAGTTAACATTTTTTCATTAATCAATTATTACTTTGAACCATGAATGTATAGTTGTTTTTGTATGCACATTCTTTTTCTTGTGTTTGAAAACTTCAAAAGAACTATCCTATTGTTTATGAAGTCAATATTCCGGATGATCACAACCGTGCTTATAACAGTTCAAATGAGTTATAACATTTTCTTGATAAGAATTATGTATCGGATCATAGAGCATCAATATAAATGAAATTGAATGTATAAAATTTAGAAGCTTCTTGCTTCAGATTTTTATATTATACTTGTCACATTATTATTTTCTGAAATGTAAATTATAATTTTATTCGATTTCGGTTTTGAAATAATT